AACCTGAATTCGATGCTCAAATAATATAAAATGGTCTAGGAACTAGAAGAAAATACAAAACTAAAATCATGCCCTTTCCTTCATGACTTAGTAACCAAAAATATATAAGATAAATTATATCTCTGAAATTTATTTTAAAAGAAAATATGTACTTTCCAAATCACTTAATATTACATGTGTGTATAGATATATGTGTGTATATACAGATATAGATAGATAGATAGATAGATAGATAGATAGATATACACACATATGTATATGTAGTCTTTGTAACGAAAGTCAGAAACAAGTATTTTTAGTATGTGGAAAATTATTAAGAGGAAACACAGGGGTAAGAAGAATTCTGGCTAAGTTGGCCTAACAGGGCTCTTGCTGAAGGCAGGGCAAGGTGATCAGATATCACCTAGGGGGCGATGGAAGGTCAAGGAACCCAATCAGATACTGAAGGTAATCAGATATCAAGGGTGGGGGACCCTGACTAAACAAACTTAGCAGATTCTTATGAAAATTGAGCAATAGGAAGACAGACAGGCAAGTACAAAAGGTGAAGGCTCATTGGAAAGAGGTCTCAGAAGAGCCTAACTCAAGTTAAGTCAAGGGAGGAGCTCTGTCAATATGCAGCCCTAATTTCAAGAGATGTGGATACTTTGCTTGGAACTTACAAATAATTCAACACTCCAGGTCTCTCCTAATTTACCCATGTGCCCCAGAGTTAATTTACTTGCCAGTCCCCTAGCTGTAGAACAAAAAATAACTTCAGATTTAAATCTTGGTCGCTGGGTGTCTCAGTTTCATTACCGACAGATTCTTTCCAATTACTCACAAAATAATATGGCAAGATGGTACAGTATGGTATGGCATTGGTATAGTGTATCTGCCATGGCTTGGAATGGTATGTATTCCGTGGGAAAGCCTATTAGCAGAATGGGAGAGAGTTTCTTACTGCAAAAACCATATCATGTATCATCGCAGAAAGCTGGAAGTTAAGAATCACAGAAATCCCAGAAAAAAGTAATCTCTGATACCATCACAATAGAACAACTTGTGTCATCTTAAGATAATTTCCTTCCATGCTTTATCTTATGAAAAACATTTATATCATTAACATTTTACTGTATATACAAATTAATATCCTGCTTTTGTACTTACTGTGATAGGATAAGCACTTTCTATATTGCCACATGATCTTTTTAATTATTGTTATTATTTTAATGATTACTTAGTATTTGTTAAGTAAATATTTCATACTTTAAATTCTTTGTTGTTGGGCAATCAAGTTGTTTCCTTTCAAATTTTCAGTAAAAAAAATGTTCTTCTAGCCAGTCACTCAGTAATAGAAATAATGTTAATGAAAAGCTCAATTTACTGTCTTACCTAATCTGAAGATTCATACACTCACCAGAACAGTGTTATTTGATGTTTATATGAGTGATATTTGATTAAATAGAAAATCCTGTAAAGAGAAACTGATCCAAGAGGAACTAAAACTCTAGAAACTGTAGGTTTATCTTGAAGTTTTTACACTAAGAGACCAAAAGTCTGCAATATGTACAGTTAGCAATCTGCCAAACACGTTTCAACAAAAATTACATTAACCTCATACTAACTTTTCTGAAGATAAACTAATAATAAATATAAAATGGAGGAGGAAAGAAAAAACCTTCCATCCCCCATAAAACAGTGATCTAAGTGCATTAAAGCAATTTTGCACACCCTACTAAAAATTACAGGTTGCACGTTTTGGTTTAACTAGTCTGCCCTTGGGAAGAAAGATGATTTAAGTGCCTAAATCATTTTGTTTTGCAACTTGTCATAGCTAATGGCGGGGGGGGGGGGG